AATGGGGAGTCTAGCCCCTCCCGGTAAAGGATGCCTGCAGGTAGTGATCGCTTCTCTATTCTTCTTCCTCGAACGGTTCTCCTGTGTGCTAGCACCTGGTGTTGGTCTGTGACAGCAGCCGCTTGCTAGAGTGATGTCTGACTTCGATGCTCTCATGGTCGTGTGACAACCACACTTTCATCCACACCCCTAGTGTGCTGGGTGCCACCCACAGGCTTCTCCCACATTCGGACTCTCATCCAGTGGGACCCAGCTTCCTCCCAGATGCTTGGACTCTTGTTAGTTGTCGCTTCCCACCACAGTCACTTTGGTCGCCTTTGGTCCTTGGTAGCTCACGTGCTGTTTGTGCTCATTGCTCACGTAGACACCTGTGAGCATGCGTTTGCCCATGAGGCGTTAGGGACGGCACTCTGTGTGATGGCTGCTTGCATCACAGAGGCCCATAGAGAAGCGCAGCAGCGTTTCATGTGTTTGGAAATGTGAACCCATGCACATGAACAGACATTCACAGTTCTCGCTGGCACACAGTGCCACAACCAACGGGGAGCATTGGCCATGGAAGGCTTGGCATGGGCTGGTACCTCCTCCAGAGAGGCCTTGCTGAAGGGCCATGAAGGTCGGTTACAGAAGAAACACGTGGTTCTGTGGCTGCTTCCTGTCTCCTGATTTCCTGGAAATTTGCCATCAATGAGGCTGATTTCCCCTGCCTCACTCCTCAGGGGCCTGAAGTACTCTCTTCTTCCCTCAGAGCGCCATGGAGAGTCTCCTGTGACACCCTTTCATTTTGTTCATTTGAACCCTGCGTTATGTAACTTGTATGTGTGATACACACGTCACGACAGACAATAACTCCCAGAAGGCCAGATTTGTGTGTGAGTTCATTTTGCATTGCTGCCCCACCCTGGGCTGCGTGTTGTGGTGCTTTCTGTGTAGCAGAATATCATCAGTATTGGAGGGATGCGTGCACAAGGCACAAGCAGAAGGAAGGAGTTTAGTCAAAGGTGGCAATTTGTACATTACGTGTATTCAGTTTTTATTACTGACATGCTTTCAGTGCTTCTCTGTCTCACTCTTTCAGTAAACACTCATGTATTACATGCTTTCTATGTGTGAGGTGCTCCTGGTAAGGGGGATCCAGGTCGCCAGCTGTTCAGTGTTGTGATCAGTACTTCGTCTGAACTGAGAGTTGTCAAGGATGCTCTTCAGAGCATTGTGACAGACCCCCAGCCTGCTTGATTAGGGAGCTAGAGGAGGTTTCTTTCTTAAGGAAAGGAGGAAGTCTACTTGTGTGCAGATTTGAAAGATGAGGAGAAATCGTGGTATCAAAATGGTGAGGAGGTTAAAACAACAACAAGATCCCACTACATACATATTAGAACGACTAAGATCAAAAAGCAAAAAAAATAAAAATTAAAAAACCCTTACATTATTAATTGGTGAGGGTGTGGAGCAACAGGCACTCATTCGTTGCTGGTGGGGATGAAAAATGGTACAGCCACTCTTCTAGTTTGGCAGTTTCTTTCAAAACTAAATGCCATATGATCAACCATTACACACCTAGGCATCCACCAAATTAATTTGAAAACTTATGTCCACACAAGAACCTGCACACAAATGCTTATGGCATCTTTATTCATAATCACCAAAAACTGCAACCCGCCAAGATGTCTTTTTAGAGGTGAATAGATAGATAAACTGTGACACATTCATACTGGGAAATATTACGCAGTGATGAAAAGGAATAAGCTATAAAGCCATAAAAAGGCATGGATGAATCTTAAATTCATATTGCCAAATGAGATAAATCAATCTGGAAAGGCTACATACCATACAATTCCAAATTATGTGACGTTTTGGAAAAGGCAGAACTGTAGAGACAGTAACAGGTTAGTGGTTTCCAGAAGTTCCGAGCTGGGACTTGGGGATGAGGCTGGATAAGTAAACCTCCGGGGATTGTTTCGGGAGGTAAAACTATTTTGTGTGATACTATAATGGTGGCTAGCTGACACTCTGCATTTGTCAAAACCAATAGAATGTACAACAGCAAGAGTGAACTACAATGTATGTAAAAAGTTTTAAAAAGTCATTCATGAAGTCGGGGGATCTCAGGATGGGAAACAGAATGTGACATATCAATCTAATTATATTAAATTTGTGTGAAATAGCCTCACTGGGGAAAGTTGTTGGGGGGCAGGGGAGAAAAAAGATGCTGACCTGAAATGAGTGGAATCTTAAAGACAAAAGGCAGAAGCAACTGAACACAATTACTGCACTCTAGTTAATAAAGTTGTTTTCCACAGGGGTACAGGTGAACAGTTCTGCTACCACTATGTACATACACTGGCATTAAACATGCAGTATTTGTCTGGCTGTACCTGGTTTATTTCACTTAACATAATGGCCTCCAGGCTCATCCATGTTGCTGCAGGTGACAGGATGTCATTCTGTTTATAGCAGAATAGTATTTCATTGTGTATATTTACCACATTTTCTTTATCCATTCACCCACTGATGAGCACTTAGGCTGATTCCATATCTTTTTTTTTTTTTTTTTTTTTGAGATGGAGTCTCACTCTGTCGCCCAGGCTGGAGTGCAGTGGCTGGATCTCAACTCACTGCAAGCTCCGCCTCCCGGGTGTACACCATTCTCCTGCCTCAGCCTCCCGAGTAGCTGGGATTACAGGCACCCGCCACCTCGCCAGGCTAGATTTTTTGTATTTTTTAGTAGAGATGGGGTTTCATCGGGTTAGCCAGGATGGTCTCGATCTCCGGACCTCGTGATCCGCCTGTCTCGGCCTCCCATAGTGCTGGGATTACAGGCTTGAGCCACCGCGCCTGGCCTGATTCCATATCTTGAGTGTTGTGAATGGGGCTGCAATAAACATGGGAGTGCAGATACTTATTTGTCTTACTGATTTCCTTTCTTTTCCATACATTCCCTGCACTGGATTGCTGGATCATATGGTATTTTAATTTTTCTTTTTTTTGAGGAACTTCACACTATTTTCCATAGTGACTGCACTAATTTACTTTACCACCAACAGTATACCAGAGTTCCGCCTTTCTTTGCATTATTGCCAGCATGTTATTTTTTGCTATTTTTTATTATAGCCATGTAAATTTACATCAGGCTGGCCTCAAACTCCTAGGCACAAGCCATCCTCCTGCCTTGGGTTCCCAAAGTGCTGGGATTGCGGGTGTGATCCACTGTGCCCAATCACAGGCTATTTTTAGATTTCATATTCTACCACTTCAAATAAGACACAAAAGGCTTACACAAGCCATTGAACTAAAAAAAGGTGATTTATTAATATTTACCCAGATGCTGACCATTTCTGTTGCTCATCTTTCATTCCTGAAGTTCCAGGTTTCCCTTTGGAAGCATTTCCCTTCAGCCTGTAGAATTTCCTGTAGCATTTCTTTTAGAGCAGGTCTGCAGATGACAGAGTACCTTAATTTTTATTCATCTGAGAATGTCTTTAACTCACCTGCATTCCTGGAGGATAGAATAAAGAGTTCTGAGTTGGCAGTTCTTTTCTTTCAGTCTGTGAAAGTTGTGGTTCCACTGTCTTCTGGTCTGCATGGTCCTTGATAAGACGTCTGCAGTCACGCACATTGCCATTCCTCAGCATGTAAAGTGTCATTTTGCTCTGGCTATTTTCAAGATGTTTTTTCAATTATAGTTTTTCAGCAGTTTGATTATGATGTTTCTGGGCCTAGTTATCTTTTAATTTGCTGTATTTAGGGTTGTTCAGCTTCTCAAATTGGAAAAAGTATGTCTTTCACTAAATTTCAGAATTTGAAGGCATTATTTCTTTAAGAAAATATTTTTCTGCACAATTCTCTTTCTTTTATCCAGGAACTAAGAGAACACAATTTGATATTGTCTTTTGATATTAGCCCACAGATCCCTGAGTCTTTGTTTATTGTTCTTCCCTTCTTTAGATTGGATCATTTCTATTGATCTGTCTTCAAATTCAATAGCTGTTTTCTCTGTCATCTCTACAGTATTATTGAGCTTTTCCTGTAAATATTGGGTATTTTTTGAGGTATCATGTGATTTTAATGTATAGAAAACTTGAGAGCCACTGACTTAATACCCCAAGGCCTTTGCATCCTCATCTTAAAAAAATGAGGATGATAATGTGGCCTTACCACTTCCCAGGGTTTCTAGGCGGAACTAAGGAGCATCGCTGTAAGACTCTGGGACTTTGATGCTTGGCACAATTTGTCAGATTTGGCACAATTCGTCAGATTTAGCCATTGTTAAATTCGTCAGATTTAACAATTCGTAGTTAGCCAGACTAACTAATAATGCCCAGTGAGTTCTATTCCCAGACATAGCAGGATATTATTGTTCAAGATACTGCCAAGAATCCAAAAGATGTTGTGATGGAAATTCTCATGATTTGAATAGTTGAAACGGGCTAGAAGCATGTGAACCATTGCACATTGTCCAAGTTGTAAAAGTGTGAAGGTGCTTAACAAATGACCCCAAGAGTTTGCAGGGGATGCAGCACAAAGCCACTAAGTTTAGGAGAGGCTGAGACAGAGGCAGGTACCAAGTGCCACGACCTCTGAGGGAGGGCAATGACCAGCATCAAAGAGACCAGAATTTTCATCTTAAAATATGTTCTAAAATAAAAGTACAGTGTACAAATTTGACCGAAACCTACCATCAGCATATGTTGTAGGAATTTTTATGTTAACTGAGTTCATAATTTGGGCTGCTGTAAAAAGAATGTACATAATTATGTTAAGAGTCACACAGGCTAGAGTCAAAAGGAATTGTTCTCAAATCTGCTAAGTACATTTAGTGGTATATTCACCAAAATTACGTTTTGATATTAGACAATTGTATTAAGTATTAATGTGCTTATGCATGATACGTTGGCTTACTTGTTTTAATGTTTAATCAAATGTGATACCCATTAAATATCCTAAATGGTACAGATCAAGAGTAGATGTTTTAACTAAAGCTAGTCTCTTATTATTAACAGAATATCCAAGGTATCTCCAAGCACCCAATTCAGATTACTAAACCTAAGAATTTTAAAGGTAACTCATTTCTTACTATCTTGCTAAATAAAGTCTTAGGTAATTGTTTTATGAGACAGGGTGTCACTCTGTCACCCAGGTTGGAGTGCAGTTGTGCGATCATGGCTCACTGCAGCCTTGACCTCCGAGGCTCAGGTGATTCTCCCACCTCAATCTCCTGGGTAGCTGGGCCTACAGGCATGCACCACCATACCTGGCTAATTTGTGTGTGGGTGTGTGTATTTTTTGTAGAGATGAGGCTTTGCCATGTTGCCAAAGTTGGTCTCAAACTCCTGGGTATAAGTGATCCTCCCACCTCAGCCTCCCAAAGTGCTGGGATTACAGGTGTGAGCCACTGTGCCGTTTTTAACATTTTTAAAAAGATTACTCGTCATTGATTTTCTATAGAACTAACTGCTTCACCTTCCTGAAGTTCTTTGTATTTGCATGACCAGGATTTAAATATACATTGAAAAAATAAAAAACAGCTAAAGTGATATGGTACCTCCCTGTTAGCAGTTTACAAGTGGAAATAGATGATAATTATATCAGGAAAGTAGCTTTCCTCCTACCATCTTTCCCCCACCAGCCTCCCAATAAAGAAAAAACAAACATATAATAGCACTGGTGCTTATTAAAGTCTGAACATTACTGGAAATGTTTATGAAAGCACACTAACACTCTTAAAAAGAGTCTAAGAGCACATTATAAAGCACACTAACACTCGTCTTTCTTTTAAGCTATTCTGCTGTAATGCTGATGGGTACATTTCTAAAAAAGAAAAAGTTCAAATCTGAGCAAATGAGAGTTCTGCTGCCCATGCCCTGTACACGTCCTCCCCTTGGCAGTGGTGCTCCTGCCCTTCTCTTGGGGGCCCTGCTGTGCAAGAAGGTCCTGGCAAAGCAGTGAAACCCGATGAGCAGTCTTGTCTCTTCTCTCCTCTCCTCTCCTCTCCTCTCCTCTCCTCTCCTCTCCTCTCCTCTCCTCTCTTCTCCTCTCCTTTCCCCTCCCCTCCTCACCTTTCCCCTCCCCTCCCCTCCCCTCTCCTCTCCTCTCCTCTCCTCTCCTCTCCTCTTCTCTTCTCTTTTTTGAGACAGAGTCTCGCTCTGTTGCCCAGGCTGGAGTGCAATGTCATGATCTCAGCTCACTGCAACCTCCGCCTCCTGGGTTCAAGCGATTCTCCTGCCTCAGCCTCCCTGGTAGCTGGGATTACAGGCATACACCACCATGGCGAGCAAATTTTTTGTATTTTTAGTAGAGATGAGGTTTCATCATGTTGCCCAGGCTGGTCTCAAACTCCTGGGCTCAAGTGATCTTCCCACCTCGGCCTCCCAAAGTGCTGGGATTACAGGTGTGAGCTACTGCTCCCCGCCCCGATGAGCAGTCTTTTTTAAAATACATGTGACTGTCCTGAAATAGGGTCCATGGAGAGGGATCCTGAGCAGCTTCATCCCCTGCTGCCCCTTTAAAATGTCTTCAGTGGGAAAATCACAGTTGTGCTTCCCACATAGACCTTCAATCAGTGAGGCTCAGAGAGTTTCAAGCTTGCTTTTACTGGAATGTATTCAGTTGTCAACATTTGACTTTTTCTTTTCTTCACTAAGAATTCTAGACAAAACAGAAAATTTAAAGACGGAAACCTAGTTAACTTTCAATAGTAATATGTTATTTTTAAGTTACATTAATAAGGCCAGGCGCCATGGCTCACACCTGTAATCCTAGCACTTTGGGGGGCCAAGGCAGGAAGATTGCTTAAGTCTGGGAGTTTGAGACTAGCCTGGGCAACATAGTGAGACCCTGTCTCTACAAGAAACTTAAAAATGAGCTGGTGATGGCGGTGTGCACCTGTAGTCCCAGCTTGCTTTGGGAAGCTGAGACAGGAGTATTGCTTAAGCCCTGGAGTGCAAGGCTGCAGTGAGCTATGATTGTGCCACTGCACTCCAGCCTGGGCAACAAAGTGAGACCCCCATCTCTAAAAAAATTAAATTCATAAAAATATTCAGAAAAAATTTAAAATCTTAACTCTTGACTTTAGAATAATATTCAAATAATATTGTATTGAGTAATAGCTATGAGTCAGTTCATGACCAAAGTCACTAAATGCTCTTGAAATAACAATTCAGGTAAAGAAGACGAGATTCTCATGATCTCCCCGAGGGCCATGTTTGTTTCATCCAAAGGCCACACCTTTCTAGCAGCAGGTACGTTTCTGTAGCTTACTTTATGCATTTTCATAGAGTTCAATGGTTTAGAAATTGAATAATTCAAAGGTACTTATGGAATTCATTCTTTCAAATAAATTCTTTTTTGAAACAGAGTCTCGCTCTTGTGGCCCAGGCTGGAGTGCAATGGTGCGATTTTGGCTCACTGCAACCTCTGCCTCCTGGGTTCAAGTGATTCTCCTGCCTCAACCTCCCAAGTAACTGGGATTACAGGTGTGCGCCACCATGCCTGGCTAACTTTTGTATTTTTAGTAGAGACAGGGTTTCACCGTGTTGGTCAGGCTGGTCTCGAACTCCTGACTTCAGGTGATCTGCCCACCTTGGCCTCCCAAAGTGCTGGGATTACATGCATAAGCCACTGCAGCCGGCCTCTTTCAAATAAATTCTAAGGCACAGTACATAATAACAAGTTTTGCTTCCAGTGTCCCCTCATCACCATATCTAAATCCCAGATACCCTTGGTCCCCACCCCCGTGCTTTGTCTGCCCTGCTCTTTGCGGCCTTGCCCGGCCCTGCTTCTCCCAGCTCAGTGTCACCTCCACTCCAGGCCCTTGCCCAGCCATTCCTCTTCCCCAGAGACCATCTTGGTCAACTCCTTTGCCTCCTCCATGCCTTTGCTCAATGTCACTTTGCTGATGAGGCCTATAAATAAGGTAACTGGTCATCCTATTTATAACAACAACTCCCCTCCACGCACACACTCTCACTCACTCCTGAGCCTCCTCACCTTGTGCGAGCCTCCCCATTTCATTTCTCACCTCCTGACACTGAGGCCAGAAGACCCTGGGAGATGGGAGGCGGGGACGTAGACCTTGAGGCTACAGTCAGGAGAGTCTGAGGGTGGCCGGGTTGGGCAGCAACCACAAGGAACATTGCTAGCAAATTCTAAATTAATGCAGAACTGTATCTCACAGACTTTTCACAGATTGAATTGCGCATTCTTGCACATTTATCTGGGGATCCAGAACTTCTGAAGTTATTCCAGGAATCTGAAAGAGATGATGTATTTTCTACTCTGACTTCACAGTGGTAAGATATATGAACTCACAATATTATCAGATCTGCAGGAAGGTCAGTATGAGTTTAAAAGCCTGAATTATTCCAAGGCTACTTTCATAAGACAGAAATTATATATTTTTTTGTATATGTGGCTAGTAGTTAATCATTTTGAAAAGAAGAGTAGATAACTAGGATCCCATGAGTTACCTAATTGTGAAAGAAGTGATGATTCTTCTCCACTAAAAAAGAAGTCCACTCCTAGAAAATATAATAGAAATGATAAAATAACCAGCGAGTCTTGCACCCTACAGGTGAGCAACATGGAACGAGTGAGCCCACAGTGCTGGCTGTGAGCCGCTGCCCTCCGAGGAGAGCAAGGTGCTTGCTGTGCACTCACGCCCCAGCCCGTCTGTGGGCCAGGGGCTTCTTCAGCTGCAGGTGAAAGACCCTGCCTGAGTGGCTTACAGTCCTGGAGAATTCCAGAGGCAGATGGGCTCGGGTTTTGTTGGGCAGCTTGGCAGGGTCGTCCCAGGCCCGTCCTTCTGCATCATATTCTCAGGACATTGGCTTCTCTTCCTCCTTGTGGAATACCTGCTCCAGTCTCCAAAGCAGGATGGAGAGACAGGTGCGAGGCTCTCCTCTCACCCCTCTCCTCTGCCCAGGAAAGTCAAGGGGCTCTTGCAGAGCCCAGTGCAGACAACAGCTACACCCCACTTTCTAGAGCAGGTCATGCAGCTGCACCAGCTGCAAGGGAGGTGGAGAGATTCTACTCCAGAAAAAAGGAGGAGTGATTATTGTGTTAGGTGTATACATGGCAGGTGTTCACCGGGCCAGGCGCATCAGTGCCCCTTTGAGGAGGGGAGGGGGAGGGTGTGCTAGCTGGTGGAAGGTCCCTGTGTCTGAGTCACCGTCCCCTCCCTCAGCAGCGGCAGGCGCCACCTTCCCATCACCTTGGGCCTCTTCTGCTCCCCCTGCAGCCCCCTCACCCCTGCCTACCCTTCCCCTCCCAGCTCATCTCCTGACACCTGTTCACCCTCATGACATCACACAGAAAGGCTGCCCAGCACCTACGGGGTGGGAGATGAGGAAGCGGATCGGGGGGTCCCTCAGGGGTGGAAGCCAGAGGGGAGAAGTCAGAAGAGCAGAGTCCTAAGCAGGTGGGGGGGTCTGTCCTTCAGCCCCTCACTAGGCTGGCCCCCTGCATTCCCTGCGTTCTTAAGCCCCTGCACTCCCCTCCCCATGTGCTGTCTCTGCCTCTGTCTTTGCTGAAGGCAGGGGGACCTGCAAGGGCTCTGGCTGCTCTCTGGCCTGGTTGCCACCCACTCTCCCTGTGCTCCCTCTTCAGCCACCCTGGCTGGTCTTGAGCACACCAGTTACCCGCCTCACTCCAGCCTTTCCTGCCCTGGGGCTCAGGAAGCTCTTTCCCCAAATGTCGGTGTGTCTCCCTCCCCCGCCTATCCAAGTGGGCCCTCCTGGCATCTCCTCAGGGCCCTCCCCTGACCGCCCTCCCCTGATGCTGGGCACACTGCCACTCCTCTCCAGTCTCCGCTCGTCTCTGGTCCGATGCACATTCTCATGTATTGCTCTACTGTTCATCCTGCTGCAGCATCAGCGCCCAGGGGCCGAGACCTCATTCACTCTGGTCCCTACTGTGCTCCACAAAGGGTGAGGACTCACAAAGGATTTGTCAAATAAACGGACGAATAGTATAGAACTCAAACTTGTGTTTGAATCAGAAAATCTCTCCAAAAAGGCTACCACCACAGGACTCTTACTTGAATGACAAAATTCAGGAAGAAATATTTTATATACCAGGAGCAGAGGATTGAGAATGTTACTGTACGCTCAGCTGGACTTTGGAGTAGCTGTGAAATTGTGTTTATGGTGACAGCAGGAAAAGTGACAAAAGCAAAGAATAATGAAGTGTTTGCCCAGCCCAAGAAGAGGCACTGTACCGGGTGGATGTGATGAGCATGGCACATGGTGGGGTCCAGGGCAGCAGGAGCCGAGGCCAGCTCTTGAGCACTGGGTCCTGCCTCTCACCCCATATGCAGGGCATCCTCTTGTTCTCTCCCATCCTCTTCCCTCATCCTCAGATCCTGCACCCTACCCTCTGCGACCCGGTCCTTTCACATGAGTGGCCTCCATCCCAGTCAGGGCCCACTCTGGGACTCCAGCTCTCCACCTCTGAATGCCCAGATCTGCACCGGGTCCTCACTAGCCTCACTCACAACTCTGCCAGTGGCCTTCCTCCTGGCATCTCTTTCCAGGTCTGTCACTTAGCCAGTCTTGCCTGTACCCCACTGAGCTCCAAAAGCACGGAGACCCAGTCAGCTCCAGATCCTCCTGGGCACTCCGGAAAGGTCCCAGGATGGATCTCAGGACACACATAGACCCATTCTTCTCTCTGCTCAGCCCCATCAGCTGGCCCCTTAGGAACCTGTGCTCCTCTGACTTCTCCCTGCTCTCTGGCTTCCAGCCCTAGTGATCCCCATTACTTGCTTGCTCACCACTTACCCCACCCCAGGTGCTGGAAGAAGTTGCAAGGTGGTGGCAACTGAGTCCAATAGAAATTCAGGCCATGTGGACTCAGAGAAGCCCTTAATATTCTCGACTTCCTGTCTTCTCTTGTTGCTCCAGACTTTTTTGATCTCCCACAAATAACTACTATTCTCTCTTAATCTCCAAAAAGAATCTCCCCTCTTACTTAAATGACAAAGTAGAAAACCTAAGACAGGGGCTTCTGAACTCCCTTCCACCCTGCCTCAGTGTCTCCATGTACCCTCCTCCCCCTCTCCAATGGCTCCTGTCTCAAAGGAGGGAGCTTCTCTATTGCCAGGATAAGGCCTGTGCAGTGTAGATCTCCAGGAGTTGCCACGTGTCTAGACCTGTGTGCCTGGCTCCTCCCACAGCTGTGCGGTGTACAACCAGCCCAGCCTTACATGGCAGCCTTCATCCATATTCCTTTTATTTTCCATGTTTACTCTAGCATTGTTAATATATCCTTGTTGATTTCCTCGTTCCCCTCTACTGGGGGACAAAAAACCTGTTTTAGGATTCCCCTAAATATAACCCTAGAAAGAAATCCTATCTTCAACCTGGTTGAAGACCTTGTTTATTGCTTAGGTACAAAAGAAATCTACACTTACTCCCTATACTTTCTCACTGCCAGCTCTTTCTTGCTTCTTAAAACAAACTTTCATTTTACCTACATAGGGCTTTATTTGTATTTGAAGCCCAGAACTCCTCACATCTAAGACAATGATTGCCTCCAGGATGTTTCTGGCTCCAAGGTCCAGGGCCAGCAACAGCAGCGAGACCCCACCCCCAGCAAGGGACAAGTCAGAGACTGCACAGGGTCTTTGTGGGTGTGCGGCAGCCCTGGTCCCTGCCTGTCCCGGCGCTTTCTCCTGGGCTCTGTGCCCCCGCTTCTGGGAAAACATCCTTCTCCCAAGCTCTCACCATCTTTTAAAATCAAGATATAATTCACAGACCATAGAATTCACCCTTTTAAGGTTACAGTTAGCCTGGCACAGTGGCTCATGCCCATAATCCCAGCATTTGGGGAGGCAAAGAGGAGAGGATCACTTGAGGCCAGGAGTTTGAGACCAGCCGGGCAACATTGCAAGACTCCCACCTCTACAAAAAAAATTTTTTAAAAATTAGCCAGATGAGGTGGCACACACCTGTCCTGTAGTCCTGGTAGCTTGAGAGGCTAAGAAGAGAGGATTGTTTGAGCCCAGGTTGAGGCTGCAGTGAGCTGTGATTGCACCACTGCACTCCAGCCTTGACAGAGTAAGACCCTGTCTCTCAAAAAATAAAGTTACAATCACCGCTATCTAATTCCAGAACATTTCCATCACCCTGAAAAGAAACCTCATGCCCATTAACCACCACTCCCAATTCACCCCGCCTTCCAGCCCTGGAAACCACTCATCTACTTTCTGTGTCTAGATTTACCTATTCTGGACACTTCACATTAATGAAATTGTACAACAGGGAACCTTTTGTATCTGGCTTCTTTTACTGAACATAGTATTTTTTCAAGGTGTATCCATGCTGTAGGAGGTAACAGTACTTCATTCCTTTTTTTTTTTTTTTTTGAGTCTCGCTCTGTCGCCCGGGCTGGAGTGCAGTGGCCAGATCTTGGCTCACTGCAAGCTCCGCCTCCCGGGTTCACGCCATTCTCCTGCCTCAGCCTCCCGTGTAGCTGGGACTACAGGCGCCCGCCACTTCGCCCGGCTAGTTTTTTGTATTTTTTTTAGTAGAGACGGGGTTTCACCGTGTTAGCCAGGATGATCTTGATCTCCTGACCTCGTGATCCACCCGTCTCGGCCTCCCAAAGTGCTGGGATTACAGGCTTGAGCCACCGCGCCCGGCCTTCATTCCTTTTTATGGCTGAAAAATATTCTATTATATGGAATAATATATTCTATATATTTCAATATAAATAAGCAAATAATCCATGTATTTATCTATTCATCAGATGTCCTTCAATGGACATTTGGGTTGTTTCTACTTTTTGTCAGTTATGAACAATGCATTATGCATGTTTGTATATAGATTTGGTTTTGGTTTTGGCTTTGGTTTTGGTTTTTTTTTTTGAGACAGGGTCACACTCTGTCACCTAGGCTGGAGACCAAAGGCATGATCTTGGCTTACTGCAACCTCTGCCTTCCAGGTTTGAGTGATTCTCCAGCCTTAGCCTCCTGAGTAGCTGGGACCACAGGTACATGCCACCATGCCTGGCTGATTTTTTTTTTTTTTTTTTTTTAGACAGGGCCTCACCCTGTTGCCCAGACTGGAGTGCAGTGGCACAATCTCGGCTCACTGCAACCTCTGTCTCCCAGGCTTCTCCACATTCTCACCAATACTTTGTATTACCTGTCTTTTTGATTCTAGCCATCCTGTGAGTGTGAAGTGGTATCTCGTTGAACTTTGACTTGCATTTCCTTGATGGGGATGGGTGTTGAGCATGGTTTTGTGGGCTTGTCATTTACTCTCTGCCCCTGCCCCTCCTCTACACCTGA